GTTAAGTCTGTTATGCTAATAGGATGCTAAGTCTGTTACGCTAATAAGGTATCCTACTTGCTGTGCTGTGATTGGACCACTACCCCTATATAAGCTTGTGCCTTCCTGCAATAAACCAGACCTGTGTCACTGAACCTGGTCTCCTGTGTCTGAATGTGGCTCCGCTGACACAGTCTCCTCACCAGCCCTGGGGTCCAGGACTGGGTAGAAGCAGCGATGACAGGAGGCAGCACAGGGCAAGGAAAAGAGCTGCCTCAGCACCAGGCAAGCGGAAGAGTGGCCTCAGCACAGGGCTAGCGGAGGAGCAGCCTTGATGCCCATGAGAACAAAGGAGCGGCACCTACGAGAATGGAGGAGCGGCCACCACTGGCGGTGACCGCAACTGACCAATGTTGCTGTCAGCTTTGACCAGAGATGCTTCTTTTTGGAAGGGGTGGTGGTTACTGTAGAGACTCATAACTGGTCAAAATGAGAACAGGTGACTGTTGAAGGCTCAATCCTAAACCTACATCATCTTCTCCAAAGCGCAGAGAACATGGCAAATGAAATGTAGCGTCCAAGAGCTGGAAGGGGTGGAGTGTTCTGGAATAATGTCCACTAGGCATGACCTGGCCATTACACTTATGAATTCACAGCACCTGTGATGATCTGCACAACACTGGGTCCATCAACATTCTAACATGGATGGGGGAAAGAGGCCCACCCCTTTCTGAAGATTTATAGGCACTTAACAGTTGGAAGAAGGAGGGCTCATGAGGCCCTACCCTTCCCTGAGGAGCTATCTGCAGTTAATGGTTACAGGGGGAGGAGACATTTTCTTCAGTGGTATGGCATAACCACTACCAAGAGGCTCGTGTTACTCTGAATACCTACTACCCATGCTCATGTAAGCAACCCTAATTAAACTATGACATTACTAGTTGGGAAGAGGAAGGGGAGGGGGATCGGCAGGAGTGGGAAGGCAACAAGAGTGGATAATAAGAAGTACATATGACCAAAATATTTTATCTACATGTATAAAAATGTCATGATGAAACCCATTATTATGTATAATATATGCTAATAAAAATAAAGCTGTAATTAAATAATATTTAACATATGCTAAATGCTTAATGCATGTTGTGTCATGATGGTAAGGTAACTAATTTAGAGGTCATATAACTTGGTCTAGGTGATATATTATTAGAGGAAGCACCTTGTGAGGTAATCTCATTCCATCAAATATTTACTTATTAAAAGCAACAAGACAAGTACCATTCATTAAATCCTTACTATATGTCAATCACTATGCTGTGACACATGAACAGAAAACACTGCAATCAACCCTAAGAATCGGTGTTAGATTGCTTCCAGGACCCTCAGAGATCAAAATATGAGGATGTTCAAGTCCCTTACATAAAACAGCAGTGTCTGCATATACCTACGCAGATCCTCCTGTGGATGTTATTTCTACCTTACTCACATTGTTTAATATGATGGAGATTCTATGCAAATAGTTGTAATATTGATTAGTGGATAATGACAATAAAAATCTGTACATTCTTAGGAGATATAACTTTTCTCTCTCTGAGCAGTTTTGATGAGCAACTTGTAGAATCCATGGATATGAGATGCTCAAGTAAAGGGGGTTGACTGGATCTCATTCATGTACTGAATTCTGATTATATACCAGGTCATTCCAGAGCATTCTTTGAGTAGGGAAATCTACAATAATTCCAGACTGAAAAATTATAAAACAATGTTAAAAATAGTTGATCGACTTACTTTGTTGTCTTTCTTTCCAGCAATTATTTCGGATATTAGTCACATAGTCTTCTTCCACACTTTTTTCTACCTTTTGTAACAGCATACCTTTATACTCGTTTTTAAAATCCTTGTTGACGTAATAAACAACACCCAAATTTTCTGTCTGCATTTTAATAGTTTGTCCTGACCCACTGTGAAAGAGATGCACGATCATTCTTTTAATTAAAATTGCACATTCAAATATGTAAATCAAGGTAACAGAAATAAAAATAATTTTAAAGTTAGTATTGGTAGCTGGACTAAAGGTGGCACCTGCTTTTAATCCCAGCATTCAGGAGGCAAAGGCAGGTGAATTTCTGTTGAGTTTGAGTTTCAGGAGAGCCAGGGCTACATAGTAAGATTCTAAAGTCTCAAAAAACACATTAATATTAGTAACAGTTACAATCTAGAAAACTGCTTCAAATAACAGTTTTGTGGCCATCACACTTTTAATATAGTATGTTCGTTTTAGTTAGCAAAAGTCTCGAAGTCTTAATTGGGAGAAATATTATTTCTATTGAAAGCCAATCTTTTTTTTTCTTTTTGTTTTGAGTCAGGGTCTTTTTGGTATGTAGCACTGGCTGGCCTAGCACTCACTATGTAGACCAGACTGGCTTTGTATTCACAGAGATTTGCCTGCCTCTGCCTCCTGAGCAATCTTGTTTGTAATAACTGTAAAATCACTCCCAGTACGATTCTACAGCATCCCATATATTTACCGTATTACATGAATGTCATCTAGAATGAATGTCACAGTAAATTTCCTTTTATTTCCTGATCTCTTAGTAAAATCATGTACTACCTAATGACACAAATCTAAGATCAATTACTAATATGTTTGCCTTTCATTTTTTTGACTTTCATGTCATTAAATTTAAATACAGCACTTTTGTCCTTATCCAGAGTGGAACTATTTTTAAAAGTAGGGATTTTGGGGGCTGGAGAGATGGCTCAGCCATTAAGAACACTGGTTGTTCTTGTAGAAGACCCAGGTTCGAATCCCAGAACCCAAAAGGCAGCTAACAACTGTTAGTAATTCCAGTTTCAGGGGATCTGACTGCCTCTTCTGTCTTCTGTGGGCATTGCACGACACAGGTGCACTTACCTATACGCAGGCAGTACATGCATATGCATAAAATAAAAATAATAAATAAAATATATTTTTTTTAAAAGTAGGGATTTTCTTGTAAAAGATTTGGCACTTAAAAAGTGTAAGCACAAGGGCTGGAGAGTTGGCTCAGTGGTTAAGAGAACTGGCTGCTCTATCAGAGGACCTGGGTTCAGTTCCCAGCACCCACATGGTGGCTAACAACCATCCTAACTCGAGTTCCAGGGGATCCGACATCTCTTCTGGCCTTTGCAGGTATTGCATTACATGGGTGGACTTACATGCATGCAGGCAATATGCTCATACACATAAAATAAAAATAAAGAAATAAAAAAAATTTAACACATGTAAGAGCACAGGACTCTTTAAAGAAAGAATAAGAAACAATAATTAATCTTTGTAAAGTTTCACTTTGCTACTTACGATCTGGGATATAAGGAATAAGGAGGATTGGAGACCATCAACTGGCTCAACAATGACACGAGAATCAATACAATAATGGGCATCAGCTGGATAAACACAGAGAAACCACCCTATAAAAAACCAGAGCAGTAAGTTGTAACAGAACTGTAACTACCAGTAATTCAACAGTTGTCATTCACTTAAAGGCACTAAGGGCATCTGAGACCATCTAGTTCAGTACTTTCAAATCTGCTGAGTAATACCAATCTCTTGGTGTGATCCCTAAAAATACAACTCAACAAGTGTTTGAAAAACAGACAATCTGACCTCGCTTGAGAGATGAAGTCATTCTCTCTCTCTCTCTCTCTCTCTCTCTCTCTCTCTCTCTCTCTCTCTCTCTCCCCCTCCCCACCTCCTCTCCCCCTCCCTCTCCCTCTCCCTACCTCCCTCCTGCCTCCTTCTCTCTCCTGTATACACAGGGATGACCAATACCCTGCAGGTTCAAAAATTTTTTGTGCCTTGAATGTGAGGGTGTGTGAGGGGAGAAGATAAATGGCAGAGCTGTACCAGGACTTGTCACTTCTAGTCTAGTGCTCTTTCCATTCACCTTTCTACACCGAGTAGCTTAATTACTATAGGCAATAAGAAATAAATGAATTAGAATCAAGCAAAGACAAAATAATCCTAATTGAAGTTTTTCAGTATCATCACTAAATTTTTTAGGGTCAATAAAAAGAATCTACCTTCAAAATGCATATCTATTACTCAGAAGCATGGAATAGCAAATGTGAAGGGTCATGCGCTCACCACCCCTCACCTGACTTCTACTCCTGCTCCTATGCTTGTCCTCATGGGGTTTCCTAGTCTCTTTTGAATACCTCTGGAAAGAGAAAACTCATTATTTCCTAAAACAACTTTCCCTATTTTTAGACAATCCTAATTGTTTTTTCTGCACTGGAATTTGCCATTTCAAGACTTAGAATCATACATGAACATACATCTCCTCTTTCTTCTTCTCTTTCATGTCCACTGTGTCGGTGCTGCTGTTGATGGCTGTAAGCAGCTCGGCCATTTGAAAATGAATGTACACTACCTAGAAAATTAAAAACACGGTTAAATTAGGAAAGCAATTATGATCAGGAAAAAGAACAACCAGTTTAATTGCTTAAAAGTTACTATGACAGGCAGGCATGGTGGTGCACACATGTAGTCTCAGCAATTGGAAGGTAGAGGCAGGAGGATTTCTGTGAGTTCAAGGCCAGCCTAGTCTACATAGTGAGTTCTAGGCCAGCTGGGGCTACAGCGAGACCCTGTTTCAAAAAAAAGACCAAAACAAAACAAAACAAAAGTTATTAAGAGATGTATGCTTTGAGCAGAGAATGTTTATTTCCTCTCTTCTTGTGAATGGAGGGTAGACAGAAATAAGAATGAACTGGGCTTTGCTTCTTTCAAATTTCTTCTTTTTGAGACAGAGTCTTATGTAGCCCAGGCTGGCCTTGAACTCATTCTGCAGATGAGGATGATCTTAAACGCCTGATCCTTCTGCCTCTACCTTCCAAGTGCTAGGTTTATAGGTGTGAGCCACATGCCCAGAGAGTTTGTGAAAATTTGGTAAGAGATTCTCTGCAACAGAACACTGGTAATTGTTCCTACAAACCTTGGAAACTTATTCTGAAAACTCTGATTTCTGCATTTAAGTAAATCAAACATGTACAGAAATCAAAAGATTGCATTATAATTCCTGTTTCTAAAAATGCTAACAGAAGCTGGGCGTGGTGGCACACTCCTGTAGTCCCAGCACTTGGGAGGCAAAGGCAGGTGGAGCTCTGCGTGTTCAAGGCCAGCCTGGTCTACAGATCCCAGTTGGAGACTCAAGTTGTTTTCAAATAAAGTGATGAATCAGAAATGACTATTATTGAAAAATAAGCTATGTTAGAATTAACAAAGAACTTCAAATCAACTATCAGAAAAAAAAAGTCAATATTGCTTCAAAGATTTCTTATTGGTACAAACATATTTTTAGTCAAAATTGCTAGTTTTAGCAATTTTTCTATTGGGTAATTATGTATTTCAATTTGTCAGAACACAGGCTATAGCTTTAAATCATTCATTTTTACTTTTACAACTCAAGGGTGTTTTGCAAAAATGTCCTACCACTGACTACTGTCTTTCTTGATGATATTCAGAGGCCGACAGGCCTGATTTCCCCTCATTTGGGAAGGCAGTTCTGTTCAGCACCAATGCCTCACCAGATTCTCTGCATTCCAGAGTGAAGGTCATGAACAAGCTTAGAGTTAAAATTTTTTAACTACCTTAAAGAAACTCGAATTTATTTTCACATAAATAACTAATAGTAAATAAGAGTTGATTGATACTTTTGTTTGCACTATAAAATCTATTCATTTGGTAATACCACTATAATATTCCCCTCTGTCAACCTCATTCAAGTGACTATTTCTAAAGTAATACAACAACAAAAATCCAAACATTTTATGCATATGAATCAGGTCTTTCATTGTTTCACTGACAATATGGATGAGGACGTTTACATACACCTGAATTAATCATCTAGAATGTCATTAGATACTCCAGAGAACCAATGTCCAGCAATCACCAGGTACAGGATACTTCCCTCACCATAACAGTGCTCACCTAAGATGCTGCTACTGGATCCTGCCTATACTCTTCTTCAGCCTTAGATAAAACAAGAGAGTATCTGTACTGTAACTGTTTTTTTGTTTGTTTGTTTGTTTTTAAAAAAATACTTCATCTATTGCCGGGTGTGGTGGCACACGCCTTTAATCCCAGCACCAGGGAGGCAGAGGCAGGTGGATTTCTGTGAGTTCAAGGCCAGCATAGTCTATATATCAAGTTCCAGATGGGCTGGGGCTATAGGAAGACCCTGTCTCAAAAAGACCAATAAATAAATAAACAAAAACAAATATTTCATCTATTATTATTTTGAGTGTATTGCCTTCATTTATGTAAGTGCATCTATGTCATACAATGCCCAAGGAAGTCAGAAAAGGGAGACAGATCCCCTGTAACTGGAGTTAAGGATGCTTGTTAGCCACCATGTGGGTGCTTGGAATTAAACCCAGGTCCTCTGCAGCAGACAGTGCTCTTAAATACTGATCCATCTCTCCAGCCCTGAACTGATTTTTTTTTTAATTTATTTTATTTATTTGTATTTTTTATATGTATTTTGCCTGTATGTATGTAAGTGCATCAACTGTGTGCAGTGCCTGCAGAGGTCATAAGAGGGTGATAGATCCCCTAGAACTGGAGTTACAACAGCTGTGAGCTGCCACATGGGTGCTAGAAACTGAACAGAGGTTCTCTGCAAGAGCAGCCAGTGCTCTTAACTGCTGAGACATTTCTCTGGTCCCTTCAACTGTTTTTAATTGAAGTATTTTCTAGGAAAAAGGCAGGCTTAGTAAAAGTAGTAACTTGCAATGCTTTCTCCTCTGAAAGCCATCATGGGATACTAACAACACTGTAAGAAATGCCGTGGTGCTCACACCTGGAATCCCAACACTTCAGAGACTGAGGCAGGAAGACTACCTGGGTCACAGTGAGTTCTAGGCCAGAAGCCTGTCTCAAAACAAAACAAAATCCAGGTTAGAAAGTAGGAAATCTTTGTAAAGCCTATACAGAAGGTTGCTAGCTGAGGAAATATAATTAGCAAAAGTGTACCTGAAGGAAATCCACCACCAAAAAATATATTGAACAAATCTTCAGGAGTTATGTCAGCTTCACAGCCTCGATGGAAATTAAATCTGCCGTTGTCTTGGTGATTGCAGGCTTGTTCTTCATTGCCTGTGAGGTCATACTGTTTTCGTTTTTCTGGATTGCTTAAAACAGCATAAGCATTTCCAATCTCTGAAAAAACAATGAGTAACAAAGATGGTAAGCAACATTTTAGCTTTGTAAGAGATTACCCAGTATAAGGCAGCATCACTTAAAAATACTACTTGAAATTAATCAAGAAATCATAAACAGCAATGATTTCTTTTAAAGGCATTTAATATTTTTACAATGTCATATATTCTCTCTCAATAAAACTTTTTATACTAGTCAGTCAAATCTTCCTGCTGTCTTGAGAATAAAGAAATGCCATCTATTCTCTCTGAATGCTGTGCTGTCCTCTAAAATCTTGCCTCTCTCGGTCCAAGCACTCTAATCTAGCCATTCATCAAAATTATTCAACCTATAAACCAGAGATGGTGGTACACATACCTATAACCCCAGCATGCAGAAGCTGAGGAAGAGGATCACAAGTTCAACAAGGCCATCTTGGGAAACACAGCAAGACCTGTCTCAAAATTCACCCCTCTCCTCAAAACTGTTTAAACCAATAGCAACAGTATCCACCACCTATTGAGTGCCTATTATTTTGTACCAAATGCCTCATTACAACATTAATTCATTAGTATTCCCAACTTCAGAGAAAGGATCCTGAGAATCAAAATCACTAAGTTGTTCAAGGTCAAATTCTCAGTACAATTCATACATCTATTACTCCAGGTAGCTTACACCATAAATCTTTTTGAAAAAAATATTTTATTATTTTTACTTTTTATGTGTATATTGCTTGTATGTATGTGAGTGCACCCGTGTCATGCAAATTCTATGCTGCTGAAGTCAGAAGAGGGCTTGGGATTCCCCTGGAACTGGAGTTAAAGACAGTCGTAGACGCCATGTGGGTGCTGGGAATCGAACCCAGATTCTCTGCAAGATCAGCCAGTGCTCTTAACCACTGAGCCATTTCTCCAGCCCCAGCATAAATCTTTTTAATAAACTTTTTTCCTAATGATTCCAGAATTTTATATAATGCATTTTGATCACATTCAGACCCCCCTCTCCAACCCCTCCCTGCTACGCCCCCATGATTTCATGTCCCCCATTATTATCTATTCTTTTCTTTTGCTTATTTAATTTTTTGATTTCTAAAGGCCTATCAATTCCAATTCACATCTCCCAAGTGCTCCTGGGTACAGGTCCATGCCTGGAATCTAGTCAACTTACCAGGCATCACACCTCTAAGAAAATGGACTCTTTTTCACGTGCCCTCCCCACACCCCCAGGTCTTGTGCATACTTGGCAAATTTTCAGATCTTTCCAAAGACATCCATGGCTCAGAAATACAAACATCATTTATGTTACTTCAATGGAGAATATAATCAAAGATGAAAACATTGTATGTACAAGCAGCACCAATGTATTAATCCAGACCTAAAACAACTGTATGTATCAATCCCTGCTAAACTTGAACTTGCAGCAACAGTATCGGTTTTAGGATGTAGCATCAATAAACTAAATGGTCTATCTTTATGCACTTTAATGCTATTACTTTTAAAGCTATAAATTTATAGGCAAATAAATTGTTTTTAAGGTTTTACTTTTTAAAAATTGATTTCCAAACATTACGATAGTTAGAAAAGAGCTAGAGAAATGGCTCAGCATTAAGAGCACTGTCTACTCTTGCAGAGGGCCTGGGTTCAATTCCCAGCACCCATATGGCAGCTAACAACCATCCATAACTCCAGTTCTAGGGGATCCAACGCCCTCTTCTGAACTCCATGGGCATTGCATGACACTGGTGCACTTACATAACTGCAGGCAATACACTCATACACATAAAATTAAAATTTATTTTTTTTTGTATTTTGGAGACAGGATCTCCCTGTAGCCCCAGCTGTCCTGGAATTTACTATGTAGACCAAGCTGGCCTTGAACTCATAGAGATCCACCTGCCTCTGCCTCCCAAGTGCTAGGACTAAAGGCATGCACCACCACGCCTGGCTAAAATAATACATTTTAAAAAAGATAATTAGAAAATATGAGTACTGCCACAGCTGTATAATTGTGTATGAAAATGCATGTGCTGTGATCACAGTACTTTTTTATTCACGCATTTTGTGCTATGTGCATGATTGGGATTTTTTTTCAGTTCCTCATTACCTAAAGAATTAAATTCAAAATTTATTTTGGTGTTCAAAACATTATAAAAATATATTCCCACATCACTGTCATTTATTGCACACAAAATACCTTCTACTTCATTTTTTTCTTTAAACTTTTATTTTTTTGCTATAGATTCATGTATAATATTAAAAAAAAAACAAAAATCCCCTATCTTTTTATGTAACTTCTCCTAGTGATAATATCTTATAAAATTATAGTAAAATATCACAAACTAAGGATTGGTATTATCAGTCAACAGAACATGGAACATTCTATAATTATCTTTAGAGTACTTCTAATTTTTCTTATTGTCTATGTGCATGATGTGTGTTGTGTGGAGTTGGTTCTATCTGACCACTTTTACATGGGTTCTAGGGACTGAACTCAGGTTATCTGGTTTGCACTTGCTGATCCATCTTGCCTGTCCGATGCTACTTTCTTATAATCACATTCAACTCCTGCCCCATCATGCCCCTCCTTAGCCCCTGACAACTACTGAAATACTGGCCACTTCTGTAATATTATCAGCTCAAGAATGTTGCAAGCCAGGAGCGAGGGTACACACCTGCAGTCCCAACAGCTGGGAGGCTGAGGCAGAGGATCTTGAGTTCAAAGTCAGTCTTGGTTACATACTGAGACTCTGTCTCACAAAAATAAAAATAAAAAAGAACATTATATAAATAATGCAATATAAAAATACGTTCATATAAATGAACCTTTTTGGAATGGGTTCTTTTCAGTCAGTATAGCCAGACTGATCCAGCTGGTTCCATCTCAAAACTTTGTTCCTTTTTCTTACTAAGTAGTATCCATGATATGGATACAGCACTGTTGGTTTAACCACTCATCCCCTGAATCACAACTAGGTTCTTTCTAGTTTGGGGCTATTACAATAAAACTGCTACATACCTTTACATACACGTTTATGTATAAATTATGTAAATTTTCATTTCTCTAGGATAAATGCCCAGGAAAGCATTGCTGAATTATATAGTGCCTCATAATTAGTTTTTTGGTAGACTTCCAAAACTATTATATACAGAATAATTCTTATTTTATATCTCCTCAACTCTATTCTCTGCATCCTCGGTCATATTTGAAGTTGCTCTTAGTTTCTACTTTACCTATTATGATTGACTGATAGATAGATAGATGATTGATAGATAGACAGACAGACAGACAGATAGATAGATAGATAGATAGATGATAGATAGACAGATAAAGAGGTATCTTGTTTAGGATTCACTTTGCCTTTCTCTAATGGCTAATGATGCTAAAATATTTTCATAGGCTTCCTTGCCATTTGCAAATCATCTTCCATAAAAACGTCATTTCTTTTATGGTGTGTGTGTGTGTGTGTATGTGTGTGTGTGTGTGTGTGTGTGTGTGTGTCTGTCTGTCTGTCTGTCTGTCTGTGTCTGTGTGTGTGATCTCAAGAATGTAAAAAGGAGAAGGTAACCTTGGGTGAAGTTCCTCTGGTATAACCTGCCTTTGTCTTTGAGACATAGTCTCTCACTGTCCTGGAAACCCCCCAGGAAGCTAGGCTGGCATAGCAGAGAGCCCCGGGATCCACCTGGGATCACTAGCTGCCCATGTCTGGCATTTTTAACATGAGTTTTGGAGATCTAACTCAGTGCTTTACTGAGTTACTGCCATAACCCCTTTGTGCCTTTTTAAGTGATACTGTTTTAAACTTGCTATTAGGATATATTAATTATATGTAAAAATTGGTTTCATTATGACATTTTCATACAGGTATATACTGTATTTGGATCATACTCCCCATAGCCCTCCCTATCTTGTCACCCTCCATTCCCACTAATCCCTTTCTTCTTCCCAACAGGCCCCATTTCTACTTTCATGTCTTTTTGTGTATACACCAATTAGTTTAATTAGGGGTGCATATAGGAACATGGGTATGGGCTTATTTACAGGAGCATGAGCAATGTAGCAGTGGCTACACCACTGTAGAAATGTCTCTCCCTACCAGAAACCATTGCCTACCTACAGATTCTCAGAGATGAGTGGGGGGGGTGGCTCATGAGCCTTTCCCTCATAGCAACTGCTAACTGCCTATAAATCCTGGATGGTGGGGCTTGATGAGGCCCTCCCCACTGTGAAAGAACACTGAGGAGTCAACTTGTGCAGGTCTTGTACAGTTAGTGAACCAGAGCTGCTCAGAGTTCAGAATTCAATGGCCACATCACACCTGGAGACAAGTGCCCATTCCACTCCATCCTCCTTCAATTCTGACATGCTTTCCATCCCCTCTTCATGATGTTCTGAGCCTTGGAGTGGGTGGTAAAGATGCTTCATTTAGAGCTGGGAGTGATACTTTTTTCACTTTTACTTATTTATTTTTAAAAATATTTTTATTTTTTATGTGTATGAGTATTTTGCCTGTATGCATGTAAGTACATCACATGTGTAGTACCCACAGAGGCCAGAGAGGGTGTCCTGGAAATGGAGTTAAAGATGGTTTTTGGTCACCAAGTGGGTACTGGGAATCAAACCTGGGTCCTCCAGAAGAATAGCAAGTATTCTTAACTCCTGAGTCATTTCTCCAGTCCCATCATTTTATTTATTTTTAAAGTCTTTTGAGAGAGGGTCTCACTGTACTGCCAAGTCTGGCTGTATACTTATGGACTCTGTGACCCTTCTGCTTCAGCATCCCAAGTAGCTGGGATGGTAAGCACCACCACACACAGCTTCTTTTGTTCAATTTTATTAGTCCTTTCTTTGTTGGATATATGTTTGACAAATATTTTTCTTCAAGCTGTACTGTATGCTTTTATCCTTTTAATAGAGCAAACTTTACAATGTTTTGAAGACCAGTTTACTAACTTTTCCTTATACAAACAATGCTTTTGGTTTTTACTTAGGTAATCATTGGCTAATCCTATATCCTAAAGATT